CCCCCCCCCTCTCCCCTCTCCCCCCTTTGGTCTTGTCTGGTACCTCAAGGCCCATCTCACTGCTCCAGCTCAACCCACCGTCCTTCCCCCCAACCCCCCGGGGGGGACCCCAACCACCATGTCCAGGCCCAGCTCCTACTACATTTTAAGTCGGATCTGAGTCCAATTTGGGCAAAACTGAAACCCCAGGAGACCCCAAGGCTCTAGGGGGCAGGGGGCAGCCCCCCCAGCCCCTCACCGTGCTGTGGGAGATGGTCAGACATCCATATTTCACCCCACACTTCCTCTTCTGCCAGACTTTGCGGATCCTGAGGAGGAGGAGGAGGAAGAGGAGGAGTCAGGATGCACCCCCCTGGCTCCCACCACCCGCATCCATCCAACCTCCCAGGCCACCCATGGTCATCCTCAGCAGAGGACCAATGGATTTCTGGACATGGGGTTGTGCTTCCTGCAGCTCCCAGGGCTGTGCTGCCCAACAGCACCACAGACCTGGTAGCCCCAGGCCAGCAAAGCAAACAACCACCTGTCCCAAACCTGCTGCCCATCACCCAAAGGTCCACTCAGGAGGTGAAGACCTTTTCTTTGGGGCTCCAAAGGGTTTATTTTTCAGCCTAGCTGATCCCACCAGGATCCCTTCTCCCCCTGTGCCCAAGAAACAAGGGATTTCTTCCTTTCCCATCAGTGAACTTGGCACTGGGTGGCTGTTCCTGGAGACCCACACTCGAGAACACAACACCCACCCAGCAGCAGCACCCGTGCTCTGCTGGCCACCCAGGAGAGCATCACAAAAGCAGCAGCTTCAGGCTTCAGAGCCTGTCGGGGGCCTTCAGGTAAGAAATGGGTCGATGACACCAAACCATCACAGGGGAAGGTCCCCTGCACCACCTCCAATCTTCCTCCTTCCCCCACTGCAGCTGGAGACCCACCAACCTCTGCCCACCAAGCCTCAAGTCTCCTCCAGCTGTGGAAACATCTGGAGCCCAAGAGCTGACAAGATGCTTCAAACCAGACGGGACCAACTTCAACCTGAACAACCCGTCCCACAGCGACCAAACCCACCACCCAAACAGTTCCTACCACCTTGGGAATGTCTGGGACCTCCCAGGAGCTTCTCCCAAAGCCCACAGTGACCCCAGGAACCAGGAGCTCTCTGGAGCAGACCCAACCCATCCTCACCCATCGCTCTTCTTGTAGAGGAACCCCGACTTCTCCGTCCCGTACTGCTTGTTCCCCTGGTGCTGGTGGATGCTGTAACCACTGCCCGAGTTCTTCCTGCTCAGGTTCTCCTGAGATCACCAGGAAGGGGATTCAAATACATTTCAAAAAGAAAAAAACCCCAAAACACCCAAACCAACCCCAGTTTTGGATTGGGGGAGCAGAGGTGGCTGCTGCCCTCAAGTCACCCCATCCTTACGTGGGGCAACTGAGATGTTGGAGACTCTCCCAAGTCTCCTGCTCTGCTTCCCACAGATGTCCCCCTTCTCCCCCTCCCTTCCCCATCTCCCTTTACCCCCAAAAGCCAACCTTGGGGTGCCCACCCTTCCCTTAACACCCTCCAACCCCCCCCACCCCTTATTCCCTGCTCCCCACCCCTCGACTCTGCCCACCCCAGGGTCTCACCTCCTTGTTCTCCAGCTGCAAGAGGCTGCGCAGGGAATCCCGGGTCTGGGTGAGCTGCTTCACCTCCTCCTCCTGGGCCTGGTGGAGCTGGAAAGGGACCAGTTGCCCTCACTGCTGCACCGAGCGTGGGAGTTCTCAGCAGGTGGCATCTCGGGGAGGAAGAGGAGGGGACAGACACACCCACCTTGGTGGGGGACAACCTGGGGGACTTACTGCATGGAGGGACACAGCCAGCTTCTCAATGAAGGGGTAGAGGTTCTGGGCAGCCTTCCAACCATCCTGGAAGAAACTGGGGGTTTGTTGGGGGTGATTGAGATGCAGATGGGGGGGAAAGGAGGAAGAAAAAGGGAAGAGAGGGGTTCTTTTTAGAGAAGAATGTAGCAGGAGACCAGAGCAAACCCTGCCCCCAGGAGCTGCTCTTGCTTCGTGGAGCTGGGGAGACCCCACCAAAGGCCAAGCCCAGTGCCCACCCTTCCCTTAACACCCTCCAACCCCCCCCACCCCTTATTCCCTGCTCCCCACCCCTCGACTCTGCCCACCCCAGGGTCTCACCTCCTTGTTCTCCAGCTGCAAGAGGCTGCGCAGGGAATCCCGGGTCTGGGTGAGCTGCTTCACCTCCTCCTCCTGGGCCTGGTGGAGCTGGAAAGGGACCAGTTGCCCTCACTGCTGCACCGAGCGTGGGAGTTCTCAGCAGGTGGCATCTCGGGGAGGAAGAGGAGGGGACAGACACACCCACCTTGGTGGGGGACAACCTGGGGGACTTACTGCATGGAGGGACACAGCCAGCTTCTCAATGAAGGGGTAGAGGTTCTGGGCAGCCTTCCAACCATCCTGGAAGAAACTGGGGGTTTGTTGGGGGTGATTGAGATGCAGATGGGGGGGAAAGGAGGAAGAAAAAGGGAAGAGAGGGGTTCTTTTTAGAGAAGAATGTAGCAGGAGACCAGAGCAAACCCTGCCCCCAGGAGCTGCTCTTGCTTCGTGGAGCTGGGGAGACCCCACCAAAGGCCAAGCCCAGCCCATGGGGTCTGAATGGATCCCAAATACTTGGGGTCAAGGATCTTAAAACCATCCTCATCTCCTTTGGGGGTCTCAGGGTCACAGCCCCAGCTGGGGTCATGTCCTTGGCCAACACAACTGTCCCCTCCCTGCCTCAGTTTCCCCACTGGAGAGCTGGAAGAGATGGCACGACAGGCTTTTCCAGCCTCATGGAGCAAGGGACAAGGAGATGGGATGGTCCTCCTTGCTCCAAGCCCCCTCCTTACCAGCCCCACAAGCTAACGGCTGAGCTGCTGGGCTGAACTCATCCCTGGAAGTCTCTCCAGAAACCAACTCATGGGATAAATCCTGAGCCAACCCCCCTCTCCAGCCCCCACGGACACGTTTCCAGCTCCTCAAGCCAACACAGCACATTTCACCTCCCTGGATGAAACCAGAAAGCAACAGGCTCTGCCCAACACCTTCACCAACAGCTTTATGGAGCTGGGATGGGACAAGGTGCCCCCAGACCACCCCCCCCCCAAGAACCTCCCAGGGGTGACAACCAACCCCAGGGATGAACCCACCTTGACCCTGGGGTGGGACCTACTTGTGCTGAGCATGGAAAAACTTGATGAGGCTCTGCAGGAAATCTGGTCCCTGCTTCATCTGAGACTCACTGGCTTTCAGCAGGTACTGGAGGAGGAGAAGACACTGGGTCAGGGGAGAGGGACAAGGACCAGCTGAAGATCTCCAAGAAGCAAGAGCCTGCCTGGCCCTCACCTCCCTCCCCTGCACGGGGAGGAGGGATAAAACCCTGGCTGGGTTTCAAGGAGTTGAGTCAAGATGTTGGATTTGAAGGCAGGACCACCCTCCAGAAACCTGGCTCTGAAAGTCCTCCAAGCCCTGAAAAGTTCAAGGACCAAGGCAGGCCCCAGGGGGGTTTCCAGCCAAGCATGTTCCTCCTGACTCTCATTACTTCTGGAGTTAATAAATAACCAAAAAGCCAAGGCAGCTCGTGAAGACAACATTAAAAAAAACACACACACGGGGAAAAAAAACAACAATCAAAAGCAAAACCAAAAAGGAAAAAGCACAGCCCAAATGTTTGGAAAACGTGACCCTTTTGCTCCCCAAAAAATCTGCTTTCAAGCAGCCAGCACTGGTGGCACATCAGCCCTGGAGGTCCTGGGGGTGTCCCATGGGCCAGGGAACTTCAGCTTTCTGCATCACACCAGCCATCAGCTGCAGGAAAGCTGTGGGGCTTTGCTCACCCCCAGAAAAATCAGGGGGGGGAGGGATTTCCCCCCTGTGAGCTCCTCTCCAGCTGCTGGAGCTGAGTGGGAGGGGAGGAGAAGGCAGCTCTGAGCTCTGGGGGTTTCCCATGGTGGGACAGAACCCTGGGATGGAGGCACCTCCTGGTCATGGAGGGGTCACCCAGGCTTGGGGGGGTTGTTAAATGGTTCCACGGAAGCTGGAGCTGCAAAGTCAACACAACATCCAACCCAGAGTCCTGGGGTGTCCTGGCACCAGCTGCACCCCCTGAACAAAGTCCCAGCTGGGAAAGGTCACGTGTGCCCCAGTTCCCTTGGGATTGCCCTGTCACCCACATCCCCAAGGGACAGGGGAGGGTCCCAGGCAAGGCTGAGACCCCCAAGCAAAGGGACCCTGCACCACCTGGCTCTGGGTGCACCCACCCACCCCACAGCCCTGGGTGGGGGGGGAGATGTGACCACTCCCCACATCACCCCGGGGGTGAAATCAGATCATACCCCCACCCCAGGAAGG